GCAAGCTGTCATAGCTGGGTGCCCACACTGAAGAAGCCGGGGAGAGAAGACGGCTGCTGAAACCAGCGGTGGTGAGGATACTGCTGGACCAAGGAACTGGTGAGTGTCTGTATTTTAAATGTCAGCAGCTACAGTTTTTGAAGTCATGAATTCTATGCATGAAGTTAAAAAAAACGTCTCTGAGCAGCATCTCCGCCAGCCCCCCCTCTAGTACTCACCTAAGCCCCCTCTCGATCCAGCGCTGTGCACTGGAGTCTTGGCTATCCCAGGACTCCCTGTTCTCATTGGCTGAGACAGAAGTGGGAGCCACTGGCTCCCACTGCTGTCAATCGCAGCCAGTGAGCCAATGAGAAGAAAGAGAGGGGCGAGGCTAAAATTCTATACATGTATGGCAGTCCTAAAGTATAACTAAAGGCAAAAGTTTTGGATAGAATGGACAGGGATTAGAACAGCTGTCAGGTTTATATTGCTACTCGCTATTTGTGTACCTTTATCATAATAAGTAAAAGAAAATCAGAAAATTGTGGGTTGTCCCCAGAACAGTAATAGAAGGGAAATCTTCCAATAGGGACGGACTCTAGTTCTGGCGAGTTGGTGACCTGAGGGGCCCTAAAGGATTGCTTTAATTTATAGGGATTTTCTCTCACTTCCTGTTTTGGCTATGGGACATGAAGTAAAGGTATATCTCCGCAATGGAACATAGATGGAAGAATTTGCTAGGCAGATTTTAAATGCAAAACGCATCAAAAACGCGGCAAAAATGCATCAAAAACACAATACATGCTTTTCTGCATTGAAATCTGTAGAATCAAAAATGCAACGTTTTGCGTTCAAAAAAGTCCCTGACCCTTTCCAAAAAACGCACGAGGTGAAAACGCAGAGATGTGAACCTGTCCCATAGGAAATCATGGACTGTACTATGTTTCTGCAAAATGCTTAGGTGTGAACCTAGGATTACACAGAACTGTAGGATCAAATGACTGGACCAGAGTGGATTGAAAATAGGTATGTACACACATTGTTTATACAGGTTAAGCAGGATACTTAAGATAGGGAGAGTCAGGCAACTAGCATTTTCAGGAATGACTACAGCTTTCCTTTAGTTATACAATGTAAGAACAAATATTTTTGTGCAACATGCAGTGACTCCTAGCACTCAATGACATTTTCATTTTTGAACAGTTTAAGGTCCATTCACTCTAGGAACTTCTGTGAATTGCACAGAACACCCTGCAGATCCTATGGGATTCACATGCAGTTCTGTGCAGTGCAATGTCAGCCCATTCATTTTTAATGGGCTGAAATTGTATTGCACCACACCATAAGTAATGCATGCACTACATTTGGAAATGCACTACAATAGGATTGCATGGTACAGAAGTGTGATCTGGTGCAGGCAAACACATTGTGTTTGTGACATGCATTTGAGGTGTCGTTAACTTTGCACTGGCACCTACTGCAAATCGCAAGGGCAGTGCAATTGGAATGTGATGTGGGAAACCAGCATGGAACCCAGGTTTCCCGTACCGTGTTCCAGTGTAAAGAGGCCCTAAAGTATTAAAGGTAATGATTGTTGTATAGTTATTATTAACTATGGAACACTCAATTGTGCATTACTAAATAAAGCCAAGCTTTGTGTAACATTACAGATAGTAATAGCAAATAGTGTAGCATTTTGTATTGTAGATATAACAAAAGCCAATAGCTGCTGGGCAAATAGGATTGAAGAAATAAGCTGTGTTATTCATGGGTTAGCCTCTTTCTGCAGGTATCATATCTGTAACACAACAGGTTGGAGTTATTATTATCATACAGGATTTATATAACGCCAACAGTTTGCACAGCGCTTTACAATATAAAGGGAGACAATAAAGCAACAATACAATCAAAACCGGAGTTGATGTCTTCTGTAGGGTTGTCATGAGCAAGATGGACACATTTTTTTAAATCACCTTGCAAAGATCAACATTGGGAAAACTGTTACATGGTTGCAAAATGTGTATTACTTCCAAAGGGAAATTTATGCGAAATGCACACCTTGGCATTTCGAATCGCAGGCAGAATTGCCACGATTCTGCCTGCGATTTCAAAGCGCTCTGTTAAAATGACGTATCACACAACACGAATTTCAGATGCTATTTGTGATAATGGAACCTAAAAACGCATTGCGGTTCTGCCACGATTGTTATGCAATAAAGTGTGTTGCATTCACGGCAAACCGCATTGAGAAAAACTTGTCACGCAAAAGAAGCTCCTCCTTTTTCGATGACACACTTCATGTTGTCGTTTGCTGAAATTGCAGTGCAATTTAATGTGTGACATTCGCGTCAGGACCACACCACATTTTTAGATGGCATAAAAATGAATGGCATCTGAAATATGCGTTGTGTGATTTGTCAGTGTTTTGAAATCATGGCAGAATTGCAGGGATTCTGCCTGCAATTCAAAATGTCCAGGTGTGAATGGAGCCTCACAGGTTCTGAAGACTGGAATTGACTATGGAATCTCCCTTTTTAGTATTTTTTTGGTGATACCAATAAAATATTTCAGAATGTATTTATCAACACATTTGCAGTTAAATGATACATCTCTATACCAAGAATGCATTTGTAGGAAAGCAACCCCCTACTGCGAGACTAAAAATAAAAATTACTGATAAAATTGTCTTGTAAAACATTTTTTTTTTACTGCATAATTTAATATATCAAGAAGTTTCTCTTTTAAATAGAATTCTCCTTTCTTTTTAGGACTGGTAACTCATTAAGCTAAAATATGTATTTTTTATTATTATACAGGATTTATATGGTGCCAACAGTTTGCTCAGCGCTTTACAATATAAAGGGAGACAATACAGCAGGGTTAGGAGGGCCCTGCACCTTGGAGCTTAATCCAAAAGAAATCTCCTGTGTCAGTGAGCAGCTGCTGCAGGGGAGAAGAGTGAGCACCGACAACGAGGGCCAGTTTACATGAAAACGCAATGTAAGAAACCCATGTTCCGTGCGCGTTTCCTACACCGCATTCAAAACACACTGCAGTTGAGATCTGCAGTTGGTATCAATATTAAGCTAATTAATATTAATTAATGACACCCCAAACGCAGGTCGCAAATGCAGTGCGTTTGCACGTACAGAAGTACCATGCAATGTGGTTGCAGTGAGTTTCCAAAAGTAGTGCATGCACTACTTTTTGGTGTGGTGTGGTGTGGTGCGCTATTAGCCCATTCAAAATTAATGGGTTGAAATCGCACTGCACAGAAAGAACTGCATGTGAATGACACAGAAATGCACTGAACGGGCATTGGAAGGTAGCGGGTGATGTCACAGCTCTGACAATTCAGCCTCATTGTCGAGTGTTCCCTGACATAGAGGAGCCAAAGCATCTCCATCATGTGGTTGCATCTAAGTGGAATCAAGAAAATATATTTACACACATTTATTTTACAAATAGTATACATCATATGTAGGCAGAAGGGGAAGTAGTGCTTTTAAGCACCCTTGTGTTTAGCCTAAACTTCCCATTTCCCATCAATCACCTAGACCCCAGCAGCTGACTTGTATGGCTGTGCTGATGGAAGTGAAATGGTATTTATGGTAGCCAGCTGTCCACATCACAATCATTACTTGTAAATATGGTAACACATCGGTGGTGAGTGCCATCTGGGCGCTGAGGGTCTTCATATACATAATGGACTTCTGGTCCGTAGAACCTCTACTGCATGGAGTATTTTTTCATTTGGCGATGCTGATCTAGTGGCCCTCCAGAACCTGGGGTGCGCTTCTCACAAGCTTGGAGAGGGTAATCTATATTTATTTCATAGCTATGTTTGTCTCACACTAAGAGTTTTGCAATACAAAAGATGTTAGAGCTCTCTGTGAGTTATTGGACTATTATCAGCTATCACTGCAGGTATTTTTGATGTCAGCTGATTGGAGGGAATGGACACACACCCCTTCACACAGCACACAGAAAGAGAGCTGAGGCTGTCAATGGCAGGCTGCGTGCTGGAGCTCCCACCCGTCACCATTTTTCACTTGGTGTCAGGAAAACTTGTCAGAAGTGACTTATGCTGATAGCAGAGGAAGGAAGCAGCAGACACAAAAGACGCTTAGTGCTCTGGACTAGGACAAGTATACACTGGAGAAGGATGTGCTTTGTTCATATTTTATGTATGCGGTTTACAACCACTTTAACCACTTCAAGTCTGGACTCTTTCACCCCCTTCCAGTCCAGGCCAATTTTCAGCTTTCAGCGCTATCACACTTTGAATGACAATTGCGTGGTCATGCAACACTGTACCCATATGAATTTTTTAGCATTTTTTTGAGACAGATAAAACTTAATTTTGGTGGTATTTATTCACCACTGAGATTTTTATTTTTTTCTATATACCGTATTTTTCGCTCCATAAGACACACCTGACCATAAGACGCACCTAGGTTTTAGAGGCGAAAAACAAGAAAAAAAAATATGGACTGCAGACATAGTACAGGAGATGACCATAGACTGCGGACACAGTACAGGGGATGACCAGAGACTGCGGACACAGTACAGGAGATGACCAGAGACTGCGGACACAGTACAGGAGATGACCAGAGACTGCGGACACAGTACAGGAGATGACCAGAGCCTGCGGACACAGTACAGGAGGATGACCAGAGACTGCGGACACAGTACAGGAGATGACCAGAGCCTGCGGACACAGTACAGGAGATGACAGAGCCTGCGGACACAGTACAGGAGATGACCAGAGACTGCAGACACAGTACAGGGGATGACCAGGAGACTGCAGACACAGTACAGGAGATGACCAGAGACTGCGGACACAGTACAGGAGATGACCAGAGCCTGCGGACACAGTACAGGAGATGACCAGAGCCTGCGGACACAGTACAGGAGATGACCAGAGACTGCGGACACAGTACAGGGGATGACCAGAGACTGCAGACACAGTACAGGAGATGACCAGAGACTGCGGACATACTACAGGAGATGACCAGAGACTGCGGACATACTACAGGAGATGACCAGAGACTGCGGACACAGTACAGGGGATGACCAGAGACTGCGGACACAGTACAGGAGATGACCAGAGACTGCAGACACAGTACAGGGGATGACCAGAGACTGCGAACACAGTACAGGAGATGACCAGAGACTGCGAACACAGTACAGGAGATGACCAGAGACTGCGGACACAGTACAGGAGATGACCAGAGACTGCGGACCTACTACAGGAGATGACCAGAGACTGCGGACATAGTACAGATGACCAGAGACTGCGGACATAGTACAGGAGATGACCAGAGACTGCAGACAGTACAGGAGATGACTAAGAGACTGCAGACATAGTACAGGGGATGACCAGAGACTGCGGACACAGTACAGGAGATGACCAGAGACTGCGGACACAGTACAGGGATGGTCAGAGACTGCAGACAAACTAGAGGAGACAGTCAGAGACTGCGGACACAGTACAGGAGATGACCAGAGACTGCGGACACAGTACAGGAGATGACCAGAGACTGCGGACACAGTACAGGAGATGACCAGAGACTGCGGACACAGTACAGGAGATGACCAGAGACTGCGGACACAGTACAGGAGATGACCACAGACTGCGGACACAGTACAGGAGATGACCAGAGACTGCGGACACAGTACAGGAGATGATCAGAGACTGCGGACACAGTACAGGGGATGACCAGAGACTGCAGACACAGTACAGGAGATGACCAGAGACTGCAGACAGTGCAGGGAATAACCAGAGACTGCAGACAGTGCAGGGGATGACCAGAGACTGCAGACAGTGCAGGGGATGACCAGAGACTGCAGACAGTGCAGGGGATGACCAGAGACTGCAGACAGTGCAGGGGATGACCAGAGACTGCAGACAGTGCAGGGGATGACCAGAGACTGCTGACCTTTGGGGAGGGAGGGGGAGCGGGTACCTGAATTTGACAGGCACCCACTCCCACTTTTGCGGAGTTGTCTTTCCCTCTTCTTCCCGCGCCGGCTTCTGTGACAGCCGGGTGCCCACTGCGCATGCGCGAGAAGCGCTGCGCTTTGTGAATAGCCCGGCGCCTTCTGGGACCTGCCATGTGTCCCAGAAAACACAGGACCATTCACAAAGCACAGCGCATGCGCAGTGGGCACCCGGCTGTCACAGAAGCCAGCGCGGGAAGACTATGCAGCGCTGGAGCGAGGAACAGGTAAGGCCCTGCAAGAGAGAACAGCTGAGCGGCCGGCCCGATATTCTGACATGGTGGCGGCAGAAATACCGGACCGGCCGCTTTATATTCGCTCCATAAGACGCACTGACATTTTCCCCCCTTTTTTGGGGGGAAAAAAGTGCGTCTTATGGAGCGAAAAATACGGTAAATGAAAAAGTCCAAAAATTTTGAAAAAAGTTTTTCTTATAACATTTTGCAAATAAATAATCTTTCTTCATAAATCTTGGCCAAATGTATTTATCTATCTTTTTAATAACAAAAAAATATTTTTTAATTTATTTTTATATTAATATTTATGTTTGTTTTTTAACATACTGTCACCCTAGCAATACAGTGTCACCATAGTGACATTGTACTACTTGTGGGGGGTGCTGAAGATTTTTTTTTTTTTTTTTACACTGATTGCTTTTACACCCATAAAGGGTTTAAAAGCAATAATTTCTCCTCTCTGGCTGCATTCCTGCAGTCATTGAGAAATACTGTGAGAGCTGTGATTGGTCACAGCTTGTCACATGGCACAAGGCTGCTGTGAATAGCCTTGTACCATGTTACCTCTGTGATCATTCACAGATTTCACAAGTAGTAAGCATGAATAGGGACCTCACACAGAGGTCCTGTACAGCTATCTCTGTTGGCACCGATCGTGGTGCCACGCACTCCCAGGGAGCACGCACAGGCAATGGATGCGGGGGGATGTTTAGAAACATCCATCCGTATCGGCAGCGCTCCCGTCTGGCTGTTTATTGACATGGGCCGGACGGGAAGAAGTTAAAGTATATGTGACCCCTCACCTTGTAAAACAGCCCATTCAGTTTAAAATAGAAATGAAAGGCAAAACATTTATGTATACATATTAAAAACATTATAAATACATTTTCCCCATTTTTATAAGTGATCACATACCATCTGTTCTCAGCTGCATAAGAACTGGTGGAGGTGAAACAGCATAATACTGACCTTTCCAGTGAATGGCTGTGAAGGGGAGGTGTGTCAGCACAAGTCTGATCATTGGAGGAGAGCAGGCTGAGTTCCCCTATGCAGCTATAGAACTGACCACGCTGCGCTCTTATGCCTAGTGTGGTCAGTTTTTAATAGCAAAGCAGAGGGACTAGCAGGAACATCAGGGATTTCACAAAGGGCAAGCAGTACAAAGAGAACAGGATACTTTTTCATACAAGTACATGGTACAGCAAGCACACATCAGGAATAAGAAATGTTGGGCTTACATAAGTGGAATGCCACACTTAACAGCTTTCCCTGTATATTTACCTATTTTCGGACTGCTGTGGTCTAGTCACGGCGGGAGAAACAGGAGGGGTAGCTAGCAGCACACACAAGGGAGTTTAGACAGTAAGGGAAATCCAACAGTGATCAGTGCAGAAGGTGGGGAGAATAAGTGCAAGCTGCAGCAGCAGATGTCAGCCAGAAAAGATCAGTTTCAGTTATTTCCCCCTCCTGCTGCACTGATCACTCGCTCCCCTGCTGGGGGGAGGAAAATGCATGGGCCCCCTATGCACCTGGTCATGTGAGAAGACGTCTGTGAAAAACAGCTGAATATGTGAAAATATGTAAAATACACTTTTCAATTAATTTGAGGCTGATAATAAAATTTGAATATAATATAATATACACCTTGTTCCAAATTATGCAAATGATATTTTTCTCATTTACCTAAATAATTGATGTAAATAACAGTCAGCATAATTCTCATGTTATCAACCATTAAGAGTACAATTTAAATTTTATTGAACACCCCTAACTGTATCCTTCATGTGTAGGATGCACGTCACCATTGGTGTGACACGATTGCACTGTTGTGTATACTTTTTGTGTCTTTTTCCTTTTTTCTTTCTTTGTTCTTTTCTTTTTCTCTGTTTTTTTTCGTTTTTGTTTTCTGCAGGGTTCCGGGACGCCATGGTCCGATCGCCATTGGGAGTGGAAATTGCTGGCTGCTTTGGGCTTTTTTCTGCTGAGCGTGTTGCGTTGATACCGCCATGGCCTCGCCCCTTTTGAAAATACATTCACAAAATGTTCAAGGCTTCAATTCGCCTCAGAAACGGGCTAAAGTTTTTCATCACCTCAAATCGCAACAAATTGATGTGGTATGTCTACAGGAGACCAGGTTTTCCCAGTCCTCCGATCTGCGTTATCTTTCACCTCACTATCCCATCTTTTACACGGCCTCGGCTCCTGAAAAGCGTCGGGGTGTTCTGATAGCTTTTAAACGCAATCTCTCCTTTGTCTGTTCTAGGCATATAGCGGACCCCACGGTGTCAGGAATGGACTCAGCACTGGTGGTGGGACTCACCTGCCGTGTGGGCTGCAGTACCAGAGCTGCCCAGCGGGTGCTCTCAGCAATGGACTCAGCACTGGTGGTGGGACTCACCTGCCGTGTGGGCTGCAGTACCAGAGCTGACCAGCGGGTGCTCTTAGCAGCCAGAAGCTCACAATCAGCCAAACCTGGGGCTGATTGCAGAAAGGTGTATTTAAGCCATGACCAGGCCTGTGCTCTGGGCCTTGGTGTATGTTTTCCCATGAGCCTCTGTACCTGGTATCCTGTGTTCCTGCTTCGTTGCTGACCCGGCTTGATTCTGACCTCTGCTGACCGTCTCCTGTTGAACCCCTGGCTTGCCTGACCATCCTTCTGCCTGATCCCCTGTACCGCGCTGTCCGTGAGTTACTGAACCCGGCTTGTGACCCTGACTATTCTCTGCCTGCTCCTTTGGTACCTCGCTGCCCGCACATTGTTGACTTGGCCCGTCTGACCACGCTAACTACTCTGCCATCCATCCATCCTGCACGGATCCAGCCGTACCTGCACATACCTCTGGCGGATCCCTCTACCACTAGCAGGTGTACTCAGGGGCCGCGACCTGGTTCCTGTCTGCTCCAAGTCCATCCCCACCATCAGGGGCCCTGGTGAATAAGCAGACTGGGACTTAGACTCCGCGCCCTGGGGAATCCTGTCCTGGGGACCACTAGAGGTACCACCAAACGGTCATTACAGAACCCTACGGCCGGCCTGACCATTCCACCTCTCCAGCCCTGACTACGCCTGTGTTCCTGCACCTACTAAGATTAGTGGAAGGTTGGTTTGTTCCCTGTGCGTTTATATATATATATATCTGGGTGGCTAATAGTAAACTGTATTATTATACTATACCTGAAACCTGCGTTTCCCTGTGTCAGTCCACACCTTTCTGGTCATTCCTTGATTCCTGACACACGGGCAGGTATTTGCTTCTGCAAGGCACCCTCTGGGACCAGGAGGTTACCTTTGTCTCTTACTACGCGCCTAACCGCTTCCAGCATAAATTCTTTTCGCATCTTTGCACCATTGTTTCTCGGCACTCTAAGGGTCTTCTCCTTGTTATGGGGGATTCGAATGTTACCTTGGATTCCACATTGGATAGGCGCTACGCACGGGGAGCGACTCCCTCTCATGACTTGGTGCTGGAGGAACGTATGCGCTCTCTTTTTGCGGACGGCGGGGCTAGCGGATGTCTGGAGGGAACTTCATGCAACTGAACGTGACTTTACGTTCTATTCCAATCCTCATGACAGCTTTTGTAGAATTGATCATATATTCATGCAGGTCCAGCAGCTCCCCTCGGTCCGGCGGATAATTATTCCCTCCTCACCCTGGTCAGATCATGATCCTTTGGTCCTCCTCCTTGCCCTTTCTGGGTCAGAACGGCGCCCTTTTCATTGGCGCATCAATGACTCTTTGCTGACCACTCAGGCTACCTGCCAACAAATAGAATTCTTTTTACGGACATATTTTACGGAAAACTCGGGATCGGTCTCTTCAGCAGTGCCCCTATGGGAAGCGCATAAGGCCACGGTGCGGGGTCATGTTATACAGCTGGCTGCAGTTCGGAAGCGGGAGCGGGAACGCTGACTCTTGGAGCTACATTCTCTCCTGGCCTCTGCGGATGCGCATTGGAAGACATCTCCATCCGTGGCCCATAAACGCGCTCGGGACGCTCTGGCGACAGAATTGGACCTCCTCGCCTCTTCGGAGGCCGAAAGGGCCCTGCGTTAGATCAGACATAAATTCTATTCCTGTGCTAATAAGCCCGGTCCCATGCTAGCCAGGAAACTCAATTCTGTGGGGAAACCCCATAAACCGATTCGACTTCGACTTTCCACGGGGGGCTGTACTTCTAATCCCCAGCAGATTGTTTCCCGATTCTCGGACTTTCTTTCACGCCTCTATGCTGCCCCAGATCCCTTCCCTGTGGCCCAGGCAGAGGCATTCTTTCAAGACCTCCATCTTCCTGGATTAACCGAGGCAGCACAGGCGGCCCTCCGCTAAACGGAAGTGGTGTCACCGTACCGGAAGTGCTCCAAGCGATCAAATCTTTACGTCGCCCTTTTTAGCGGCCTATTTCAATGAGTTATGACAGGGCTCCTTGCCTTCTCCAGACGCACTTAGGGCACATATCTCTATGATTCCGAAAACGACCGATGATGTCCAGGAACCGCAAGCCTTCCGGCCCATT